CGTCGGTTGCTGCAACTTCTTACTCCGTCGCCGATCTTCAGGCTGCCACGAACAGCTTTGCGCAAGAAAATCTTTTGGGTGAAGGTTCTTTGGGAAGAGTCTATCGTGCAGAGCTTCAAAATGGCACGGTAAGCACAATGCGTAATTGGCACCAGACTGACAAATCCGATGGTGCAGCCGTTAGCTGTCAAGAAGCTCGACGCATCAGGATCCACGGTACAAACAAATGAAGAGTTTCTTGCATTTGTTTCTACCATTGCTCGTCTGCGGCACACAAATGTTACAGAGCTTGTCGGATACTGTGCAGAGCATGGACAACGGCTGCTCGTGTATGAGTATTTCAACAGAGGAACACTTCATGAGATGTTGCACGTTCTTGATGAGACGAGTAAACGGCTATCATGGAATCAACGAGTCAAAATTGCGTTAGGAGCTGCGCGAGCACTTGAGTAAGTGCTGATATCTATTTCATAAGAACTTGGCTAATTACAACTATGCTGACAGGTATTTGCACGAGGTATGTTCGCCAGCGGTTGTACATCGCAATTTTAAGTCCGCCAACATTCTACTCGACGATGATATGAGTCCACATTTAACTGACTGTGGGCTTGCAGCTTTGAGTTCCACGTCGTCCGATCGACAGGTCTGAAGAACTAGCGCTTTTGAATTCTCTTTTATTCCTTTGCTGATAGGAAAAAACTGGCAGGTTGCGGCACAAATGCTGGGTTCCTTTGGCTACAGTGCTCCTGAGTTTGCAATGTCTGGTGTTTATACCGTTAAAAGCGATGTGTACAGTTTTGGAGTGGTGATGCTGGAGCTACTGACAGGGCGTAAGCCTCTGGACAGGTAAGGTTTCCTAGTTTTCAAGGTTATATGTTCCATTAGCTAAAGAGGTGTTCTATTCAGTTCAAGAGCACGCTCGGAGCAGTCGCTGGTGAGATGGGCCACACCTCAACTCCACGATATTGATGCGCTGTCTAAAATGGTGGACCCTGCGTTGAAAGGCATCTATCCAGCCAAGTCTTTGTCTCGCTTCGCAGACGTTATCTCGTCGTGTGTTCAGGTAAATAAGTGTTTGCTGATTCACTCGGTCGACATTCTGTTACTTTCTATGCAGCCTGAGCCCGAGTTTAGGCCTCCAATGTCCGAGGTTGTCCAGTCTCTAGTCCGGTTGATGCAACGGGCCAGCCTCAGCAAGCGGAGCTCGGGCGATGAGCTTGGTGGTTCTCAAAGAAGCATGCACGACCCGCCTTCAGACTACTGATAAAAGGTTCAAGCCGACGGCCTGTTTTGCTAGAGCTAACCAGCGTTTTGGACAGAGCCTCAGGATGAAACTCTATAAGAATAACACTGTGAGGCTCGAGAATTTTGGAGACAGTAGTGTAAGAATGCGGCCTCCTCTAGTTACGATTTGTATATATAAGGTAATGTGGATCAATTTGAAGTATGTTTCTGGTACTACCTAATGTTTTTTTTTTCTGAGCACTGTTGATTCTGTCTCTGTATGTTTTGTGCTCGATGACGAAGCCGTATCCGTTAAAGTGGAGAATAAAGTTGCGCAGAAGAAGGGGAAGGAGAACCTCTCTTTAATCCTTCACTGTCTCGGAGGCGTGACGCGATGATGAAGGAAAGAATTTGGGTCCGGTACTCTGGCACAGTGCAACGCTTTGCTCTTGCTCCAGGAAGGAAGCTGGATGTGCAGAAGATTGCTAGTTTCTGGAAGCTGGATGTTTCGACTCTGTGTGTTGGTACAGATGTTCTTCAGGTGGACGGAGAAGGCAAGGGTCTGGATGATATTGAGGAGGTCCGAGAGTGGGGTTTTGGTGATGGAAAGTCCGAAGCAACGGCTCTTGAAGCTCGAGGCTGTCCAGGTATGCAGTTTCGAAATTCTTAGTTGTCTTTCTTCTCACATCTTTTCTATGTATTCAGTTGTTGCTGATAATGGATTATCTTATGGTAAATTTCAATACTTTTCAGAAGAAACGTTTTTTACCGTGCTTTTGTTCTTCTTTCAGGTGGCTCACAGTATCAAGCCTTTGCAAACGAAGTCTTTGAAATGGTAAAGTCGATGTCCCCGGACGAGAACATATTCAAGCCCCGTAATGTCATCCACTTTCCCGGCAGAATTCCATTTCTTGCGGACAGCATGGAATACAAATCTCTCTGGGTGCACGAGGCCTATCATGACATCGCAGCGGAAATAAAGAACTTAACTGGAAAGGTGAAAAACATCCACCTTGTAGGAACGCCAGGCATTGGAAAGAGTGTTTTTGGGATACTGTGGCTCGTCTCTCTAGCTCTGGAGAAGAAGGCCGTGGTATATCGATGCAAAGACTGCCAGACATGGATTCTGTACAACTTTTCGGGAACTTGTCCGAGCACCAGAGTTTTTAGAAGCTACACCGAGGCTGGACAGTTCGTGAACTCGACCGTATGGCTCATTCTGGATGGTCCTTCCAAGCCCGTCCTGCATCCAGGTCCTTTGCTCCAGTGCGTGGCACTCGATCGAGAAGATGGTCCTTTCGATTTTTCGAGGTGGTCAGGAGGAAAGGTTATCTATATGGAAGACTGGAGCTTGGAACAGTGCGAGCTCTGCCTCGAGGATCTCGGGCTAGACGTTGTCGACTTGGAACTCCGCTTCTTCTACGTTGGTGGCGTTCCCCGCTGCCTTTACAACTCGGGTTCTTATACTTTGGGGGACTTGAAGAGCTCGGTCGACAACGCGGCCGTGCTGGTTAACTGGAAATCGTTTCCCGAGAGCTACTTAAACAGGCGAGATATGGAAAAGCTAGTACGGAACAGGTACTCGAGAAAGACTTCGGATTCTTTCGAGGAAAACAGCTCAACTACAAAGTTGTACGTCCCTGCCTCGACGTACGCCAAAGACGTCATACTAGCAGGTCTCGTGGAAACTAGTTTGACGGAACGAATCAAGCTCATCAACACTCCAGTGTCGGCTTTGGCTGGTTTACGAGAAGTCCCATTCGAAAGAATAGTGCACGAGGAACTAGGCCGGGGTGGTGCGTTCGTCATGCGGAGCTTAGACGACGGGAAGAAAGAATTCCGGAAAACGATACGACCACAGCGAGCCGTTTGCCAGTACTTTGACAAGAGCTCGGGAAAGACTTATTTATATGCTGAGCTCTTCACGAGTCGTGGTCAGTTGCATCACAAGGATAAACTTCCTCTACATTTTCTGGGATGGGAGCACTACGTGAAGCCTGTGATGAAGCCAGAGGGGACCGTTGATTCCTTTTTGACGCCTGGGAGGACTGTCACTGGACTGATTTTTCGAGTGGCAGTGACGCTGGAGAGCTCGATCAAGTGGAAGTACGTTGGCAAAGTAATCGAGTTTTTGGACGATTGGTGTGAGAAGCAAGGCCGAGCTCCACCGCCGAAATATTGGTTCGTGCTGGTGGTACCAGAGAGATTCTTCCCTCTGTTTACCAAGCAAGTGGCCGTGGAGGAGATTTTTGCTCAGCGATTGGAGCAGTTTGTTCTCTCGGTGAAGATATAATCTTCCGACTTAGAAGGTATGAGTCTCTCTTCATCTAATGCTCTTACGCGTTCGTTTGACAGGAGAAAGGAGGAAAAGAAAACATAAAGAAGACAGAAACTTTGGATCCTGCTCTGCTGCTGCTGCCAACGAACTTGGGTCTTCTCCGAGGCAAATTGCTAGAGCTGTACGTGAACGTCTAAATGCAAACACATGACTTCAAGGGCTTTGGCAGCGGCAGGATATCTCAGACCTGTGAGGTGCGAGACATTTTTTTAAATGTTTCTTAACATGGTTTTTCTTATTCATTTATTTCTGTTTTTTCTCCTTTGTTCTCACATGCAGTGATGCAGCTGGAGCCGTGACGACAAGCAGTTGGCGATGGAGATGATGGAGATACGAGCTCCATGGCGGACAAGAATGCCAGAGCAACCAAGCAAGGAGCATCACAAACGTACGAACAATCGCCCGCGCTGGTGGAGAGGTATGGCTGTTTTTCCTCAGATTAGTTTCAAGCCTTTGGAACCGTCTTAGCTTAGCCATGCTGAGCTAATCCAGCATTGGATCCTTATTAGTTATACATACTGCAGGAGGATATCGGTGTCAGGCGGAGTCAAAAATCGAGACGAGAAGATAGGCATGTAAGAAAAGCTGCCGTGCCAAAACAAAGGAGAGAGATAGCATCAACCGATTCAATGCAAAGCTCCTGTACACCAGGAATAATAAGGTACTGCTGCTTTCTCTCTTGCTAGTAAGAGATATATTGTAAGAATTTTTATGCAAGGCGCGGGAAGAACAGGACTCGGAGAGAAAGAGAACCAAAGTCCACTGTTGCTGCTGCTGCTGCTGCTGCTACTGCTACTGCTACTGCTGCTTTCACAGTTGTGTTACAGGCAGGATTGACAGCAAACCACAAAGGACTTGGATACACCTCCAAACAAGAAACAACGCTGCTGCTGGCTGGAGTGCTAGAGCTGTTCTTGAGTCTCTTTCTTGGCTTCCTTTCTTTATTAACTCTTTTGCTCATCTCTTTTTTCTCTATTTTTTCTTTTCTCTTTCTCTTTTTCTTGCAGGAATGCTCAAAGCAAATCTAGAAAGCAGGCAGCCAATGCTAAGACCTTTCCAAACCACCAAAGCAAAGAGAGCTGCCTATCTATCTACCTACACTCTTTTTTTTGTGTGTGTCCATAAGTTGGCCTCCAGCTGCATTGTGCACACCAAAGCTGACATCTCTCTTTCAACCAGAAAAACATTAAATTATGGCTTAAAATTTTCTATAGCTGATATTTCCAGAGATTATTTTAACGTAATAGTGCCAAAAGGATGAGAAAATTCCAAATCAAACAACTATTGAAACCACCCAACTAACCATTAGCTTTCCAGCTGGCTGTAGAATTCTACGGAGTATGTATCTTACCCGTGACGTGGCAGAGACGTGGAAAGGAGGCCCATGAGCTGGCAGGAAAGACCAGTGCTCTCTCTCTCTCTCCATTCCATTCTCTTTTTGCCTATCAGGTTAGTTTTCTTGGAGATCAAGGCTCCACGTTTGAGAAGAGGCTTAGGGTTCTTATGTTCGCTCAAGCGTCTCCTCAGCATTTGGTATCGGTCGTGCGCGGTCGCATTCCTCCATCGATCCAGCGCGGCGCTAGGTTGCGCCGGTGGTTTCGTCGATCGATCGCCTCGCCACACTCTTGCTCGGTGGATGTTTGGGAGCAGCATGCGACAAGGCGACGCATACGAATGCGGCCACAGGGATCGCAGCTGGAGGACCGCCAAGAACAGGGAGCACGGATAGCAGGAGGCGTCGCTGGGATTCTAAGCTGAGATCGCGATCCACTCCACCGCCGAAATATTTCCGTCCAGGACAGATCTTTTTCTCTCCTTCTCCTCTCGCGCTTTGATCCATGGCGATCAGCAAGCCGTCCCTGATAACGATTCCAGCGCTCGTTCCCAGCACAGCGCTCACCGCCTTACTCCTCTCTCCCAAGAAGCGGCCCACGAAGCGATTCTTTAGCCGGGCAACCTACATTGTGAGCCTTTGGGGGATTCTCATCGCAGGCTTTGGCGTCTTGAGCATGTTCGTGTTCTTGAGCCGATGGCATCCCGGCGACGAGAATTGCAACAACAAAGCCACCTCCACCTCCAGCTTCTTCGACAACGGCGGCAAGGATGCCTTGGATCGCCATCGCGATGATCTAGCGCCATCTACATCGAAGAATTTCGTGCTTGGGAATCTCACGAACGAAGAGAGGGACTTTTGGCAGCAGCCAGACGATCAGGGCTACAAGCCGTGCTTGAAATTCAGCGATCGCTACGGACTGGATTCGTCCCGCATCCTTTCGGACAGGAGGAACTATCTGGTTGTCGTCGTCTCGGGAGGATTGAACCAGCAACGCAACCAGATAGTTGATGCCGTGGTCATCGCGCGTATCCTCGGCGCTGCTCTCGTGGTTCCGATCATGCAAGTCAATGTTATATGGGGCGATGATAGGTGGGCATTCGTCTCTTCTTTTCTCTTTGGATCCCGTGTGGCTTATCATTGTTTTATCTCCTCGCGATCAGTGAATTTTCTGACATCTTCGATTTCGAGCATTTCAAGACGAGCTTGCAAGCCGACGTGAGGATCGTAACTTCGCTGCCCTCGACTCATATCGGAACGCGACCAGCCGAGGAGAAGCGGACGCCTTTGAACGCTAGCCCGGAATGGTTCAAGCAACACTACTCAAAACGAGTAAGCACAGCTTAGCCAGAGCTAGATTTTCTGACCCTTTCTTTTTTGTTCTTGCCTTTCCAGCTTAGGAGAGATGGCATTCTCTTACTACGAGGCCTCGACTCGCGGTTGTCCAAAGATCTACCAGCAGACCTCCAGAAGCTTCGTTGCAAAGTAAGCGCAGATAGTCTTAGTTTTATCTTCCACTTTACAACTCGCTTGTTTTTTATTGGTGAGCAGGTAGCGTTCCACGCCCTTCGATTTGCAGCTCCGATACAGGCACTTGGCGATCAAATCACTCAACGAATGTGGAGTCAAGGTCCTTACTTGGCCCTCCACTTGCGTCTAGAAAAAGACGTGTGGGTTAGAACAGGCTGTCTTCCAGGCCTGGGGCCCGAGCATGACGAAGAAATTCGGACCGAGCGACGCCTCAATCCGAAACTCCTCACTGGACGAACCAACATGACCCAAGAAGAACGTCAACTTGCTGGACTTTGTCCGCTCACGGCAAAAGAAGTAGCAAGGTAAGCGTTTCTTAACCATATCTTTGGTCATGGATCGTTCGTGCTGCCTTTTCTTTTGGTTGCTATTGAGCCGGCATTATGTTATTGCACGCTGCTTTCTTTCCGGATCATCGCAACTTCTTTGTAGTTTTGTGCATGGATACTTTATGCAGAGCTTCTAGCAGCTTGGTTGTATGCTTTGCGATCGATCTTGTGTGTCGCTGTCCTAGCGCAATTCTTTTCAACCGTCGTTGTCGTAGAGAGGGATGCAATTATTCAGCTGACCATCATGCTTTGCATGATCTTTTTGCTCGCCTGATCCCAGCCAGCTCATTTTTCTGATTGGCGACATTTACAACTACTGCTTCTCGTGCTGCCTTCTAGTGTTGTGACTGGGGTGTACTTATTGTCTTTCTAGTACTGCTTGCTCCACTATCGCACCACTAAATGCCCTGCATATTATTGCGGCTGAGATTCGTGAGGCCAGCAAGAAAACGGAGTAAGCCGTTCCCGGGTCCCGTAAGAGACAGACTGTTTCTTTGAAGTCATGAAATCGTAATCCTTGGGAGTTGCACTTTGCATTCAAGAAGTCGTCGGTCGTGCTCGTCATGGGCTTTTTGTTGTTTTAATTTTCGCTATTGTGCTTCTTTGTTTTTGAAAGCTCCATTCCAGATCGTGATGATGCTTATTGTGTTGTATCTGTGCAGGTTGCTTCGAGGACTTGGAGCCACGTCCTGGACCCGGATTTACTGGGCTGGGGGGGAACCATTTGGAGGATCACGAGCTTTGCAGCAACTCAAGCAGGAATTCCCAAACTTGGTCAACAAGCACGACATTGCAACTCCTCAAGAGCTGGAGGCCTTTCGCAGCAAGGCGTCCAGGCTCGCAGCAATTGACTACGTCGTCTCTTTAAACAGCGACGTGTTCATGCCATCTCATGGAGGAAACATGGGTCACGCTCTCAAGGTAAGATGCAGTTTTGAATTTCTTTTAAATCTAATAGAACATTTTGATCTTGCCGCAACAGGGACATAGAGCTTACACAGGCCATCGGAAGCATATAACCCCTAACAAGAGAGAAATGCTACCTTTCTTCCTCAATTCGAGCCTTCCCCAGAGAGACTTCAACGCTGCCATCCGGGAATTACACCGAGAATCGGTTGGCCAGCCTGCCATGTGGATGGAGAAAAAAGGGCGGGACGTATTGGGCTACCCAGTGGCTGAATGTATGTGCAAAACTAATCATCCCAGTTGATTGATAGCTGCATCATAGGTTGTAGAATTTGATCATTCTTTCAGAACGTTTGTTCTGTTATACTAATGATATGGTTAAATACAATTTTATATCTGACTAGCCTGGTTGGCAAAGTTTTTTTTGTTCACATATTATCAATAATCTCTTGCTGGATCTCTAAGGCAGCATCACATCCAACAGCAAGTATTAAGCCTGGAGGAAATGCCTTTGAAACTATAAAACACTTCACAATATCCTCACAACCTAGATTATCCTTACCATTCTCAGCACCTCGCCATTGTCCATACAAGTGGCTTGCATATACTTTGCTAATATCCTTCCAGATTAAACCTGTAAGATGACTATGAACGATTTGATAGACTCTTATAATCAATTTATGTTCGCATCCGAGAAACTGTAAATTGGACACTAACTTCGAGTTGGAGAAACTAAAATAATGTTGTAAGCACGGGTACACAAACATTGCTCTTTCTCTTGCTCTAGGCTCTTTCTCCCACCATGAAGTGCTGATGTGAAGCTTAAGAACCTGCTTGACTCGAGGCAGCAAGCAGAAAACACAGTGTGGTTATTCATGAAGGCAATTGGCAAAAGCAAGCGCTGCCCTAGCTCACTTAAGACTAGACATTCTTTTGGCTGAGCCAGCAATCTTGTTTATTGTCCCACTACCAAGAAATTCCCAGTTCAAGCAGTAACCTTAAGTTCTTATGGAGATTAACATGTGCATTTGGAATCTAATCACCAACTTTGTTTAGCATTCTTTTCAGAGGCCAACACCTCAATGAGTATCTGTATGGTTGAAATTAAGCTTTCAACCCATAACTTTGTTTGCAAATCTATAGAGCACCTTCCCCATGCCTAACCTTTGCTCCATATAGCTTGCTGCATGCTGTTAAGAGATTCAGAGGGATTGAGATTGAGGGAGCAGATAGTGCCATTTTGATTCTTGCCCAAACATGCATGATGCAAACAATTATTAGCCAAAGACAAAATCTTATTAAAATATTTCAGTAACATATGGTTAAGGAAATAACCTTTTGACAGATCTAACAGCCAAAAAAGTTCAGTAACTCCTCCTTATTATCTCAATAGACATTGTCCAGCAAATGCTGGATGAGTACAAAAATCAATAGTTTTATACAATTTTTTCCTTTTGATATCTATATGTGTGTGTATATATATATATATATATATATATATATATATATACACATACAATACTATACAACATATACCATGTACTTAGAATATCCTGAAGTGAAAAAAAAATAATTAGTAAGTAAATATTATTGATAAAGATAATATATGAAAATTATTACTTGGGAATATAAATATATTTAAAACACTAAAATTTAAGGAAACTTAAATATCCAACCCAGAGAAAAGTAAAAAATAAATTACTAAGAATAATTTTTTTATAGTTATTAGAATATAAATATATTTAGTACACTCCAAGACTAAATAAAGTAAATGAAGAATTACTAAAAAATAATTTTATTAATCAGATGTTACATGCAAAGTATGTTTTTACTAGGATGAGATTTAGATATACTATCACCGTTGATCTTTGGAACCTTGGGGGATAAATGGGGATAAAATAGCCATTAAAGGCTCTCTTATAAGGTAATTTCCTTTTTTCCAGTTGGCTTAAGGGGAGAGAGATAAGATGTGCTACAGTTGGTATCGGAGCCACTAATCCACATTGATTAGTGGCTACTTAAAAATATAATATACCATTGAGTAAGGTATATTCCTACCCCTAAATTTGAAATCGTACATATTAGGCATCCATGCATACGTTCTTCCTCTTGTGTGGAGTATCCACGGACGAAGGTATCCACCGTGAGACACACACATGGAATAGTTAATCTACATAATAGAAGGATTGGTAAATTCAGTGCGAAAATGGAAGGAGTACGAATGGATGACTAATTGCCTCACATGGAATAACTAGTCTACACAATGGAAGGATTGATAGATTCAGTGCGGAAATGAATAGCTAGTCTACACAATAGAAGGATTGATAAATTCAATGCGGAAATAGAGGCGGTACAGATGGATGACTATTTGCCTCACATGGAATAACTAGTTTACACAATGGAAGGATTGGTAGATTCAGTGCGGAAATGGAATAACTAGTCTACACAATAGAAGGATTGGTAGATTCAGTGCGGAAATGGAGGCGGTATAGGTGGATGACTAGTTGCCTCACATGGAATAACTAGTTTACACAATGGAAAGATTGGTAGATTCAGTGTGGAAATGGAATAGCTAATCTACACAATAGAAGGATTGGAAGGATTGGTAGATTCAGTGTGGAAATGGAATAGCTAGTTTACACAATAGAAGGATTGGTAGATTCAGTGTGAAAATGGAGGCGGTACGGATGGATGATTAGTTGCCTCACATGGAATAGCTAGTCTACACAATGGAAGGATTGGTAGATTCAGTGCGGAAATGGAATAGCTAGTATACAAAATAGAAGGATTGGTAGATTTAGTGCGGAAATGGAGGCGGTACGGGTGGATGACTAGTTGCCTCACATGGAATAGCTAGTCTACACAATGGAAGGATTGGTAGATTTAGTGCGGAAATGGAATAACTAGTCTACACAATAGAAGAATTGATAGGATTGGTAGATTCAGTGCGAAAATGGAGGTGGTACGGGTGGATGATTAGTTGACTTACATGGAATAGTTAATCTACACAATAGAAGGATTGGTAGATTCAGTGCGGAAATGGAGGTGTTGGTTCCCCTTGGCTCAGTAAGGGTTGTTAGTCAATAGTCAATGTCCTATAGAAGGATTAATAGATTCAATGCGGAAATAAAGGCGGCTCAATAGGGGTTGTTAGTCAATAGTCAATGAGGACATTGACATCTCTGAAGGGGGGGTGAGTGTAGCACATGTGATCATGGGATGAGATTTGGATATACTATTACCGTGGATCCTTGGAACCTTGGGGGATAAATGGGGATAAAATAGCCATTAAGGACTCTCTCATCAAGCAATTGCCTCTTTTCCAATTGGTTTAAAGGGAGAGAGATAAGGTGCACTACACAAACAAAGTTTAGCCTAGAAATAAAAAATTGTATATACCCTTAAACTCAAACACATAAATTAATTAATTTAACAAATAATTACTTTGCCATGTGCTTTACTTAGAATATAGAACAATAAATTTTAAGAATGCTAATACTACTACTCAGACCCAGGTAAAACTAAGAAAAGAATTACAAAATATAATTGTTTCTAATATATGTTAGATACAAACTATAAATTCAAAACCTAATTAACTATATTTGTTGTTAGTCAAAAGATTTATAAAGGTGTTTAATTTTTTTGTATTAAGACTAACCTCATGTTTGAAATGTAAGTCTCATGCCTAGAGAGAGGCAATCCATATGAATTGCTTGATTAATATATTGTCAATATATTAGTATAGACAAATAATTGCCTTATCCATTGGTGAGGCTTAGCTGCTCTAGTGGCAAGCACATATATCACTTGTATAGGTGTTACCCGATTAACAATTTAGATGTAAAGGGGTTTTCACACCCACCATTAACTTTGTAAATTTAATGGTAATTTGTTCACACCATTACATTATTATATTAAATTTGTAAACTTTAATTTAACTATTAAATTTAATGGTAACTTGTTCACACCAGAAATTAACATTAAAATAAGCTAATGTTTCCATTAGCATTTCTTATGCATTTTTCGTTAAAATCCTAATGCTACACTTTTGTAGCATTAGGATTAAAATATTCACGAATATTCTATAGGGCTTTCACTTGCTTTCATTTTGGCGTGGCATGCGGTGCACAGTGTTGTTGGCTACAAGTAGTGGCGATGCCCATGGAGCAACAAGGCATGGTGTTGGCAAGCGTACTATGGTGGAAACGAGGTAAGAGATCAATCCTAGGCATTTCTAGGCATTTCTAGCACATTTTAGAGCATTTTACTTCTAGCCAAGCATGCTATGGATGACTGGAGTAGGTTTTCATGGTGTTGGTGTTGGAGGTCTTGGCTTAGGTTCTCACGGTGTTGGTGTTGGAAGTCTTGGCTTAGGTGCTGGTGGAACTCTTGGCCCAGATTCTCACTCTATTGCTGCTGGAAGTTTTGGACCAAGTGCTAGTGGAAGTCTTAGTGCAGATTCTCATGGTGTTGCTGTTGGAGATCTTGGACCAGGTGCTGGTGGAACTCTTCTTCTTAGAGCAGGTGCAAGCTCTCATTGTCTTGCTGTTGGTGGAAGTGAAAGCAGTGGTAGTGGATCATGTGTAGGAACTCTTGTTCTTGGTTTTGGAGCTACTGCAAGTTCTCATGGTGTTGCTATTAGTGTTCTTGGTGGAGGTATCATGAGTTTTGGTGGTCCAAGTGTTCATGATCGCAAGAGGGAAATTTCAAGTTAGCATTGGATATTTTGAGATGATTAGATTAAGCAGTAGCATCGCAATATTGGATCACCAGCAGCAGCATCGCATAACTATGATGAAGGATCTTCGCTAGGAAATTTCGAGCTAGCACTGGATATTTCAGGGCATAAATGGTTAAATCCAAAGAAGCGCCACCTTTAAATGATGTTGTAAAAGGTATAACTTAATAGCTAGTGTGAACATAGCATCATTAAATTAGCTAATTTAATGGGAGTGTGAATCGGTTAACATTATCCAAAGTTTTTATCACCCAAAATGACTAATAACTACTAATGCTATTATTAACTAATATTGGTGTGAATAGAATAACATTAAAATTTTAAGTTAGGCTAAATTCCTTTGATGTAAAAGCCCTAAATTAATGGTGGGTGCGAAAACCCCTTAAAACTCTCAACAATTATTTATTATTGATTATTTTGTGCTCATTCCTTGAGCACTTTGTTGGGAGTTCCACTCTAACTCTTAACTTTCCAAGTTAGAGCTTTTAATTTAAATGTGTTATGCTTATTTCATTTTTGCTTTAGCCACTATCATATGGCACCCTTTTAACCCCACTTTGGGGCTTAGGGATTTATGTATTACACTATCCCAAAGCCATTACCTAAAAAATAAATCTTGTAGAAACAAACTATTAAAATAAAATGTTATTACTAAAGAAACCAATA